AGATAAAAAGTTAAATAAAGTAAAAAAGGGGCCGCCTCATCACCTCTTAAACAGAACATGCCGTGCTGACAGGAAATACTAAAGTGAGAAGAGGGGCTACTAAGTACCGACTCTGTGTGACATGGGGCGGGGTGCTCCTTGGACCCTCGCGACATCGCTAGAGGTGCGAGCTGCTTCCAGCCTCCTCTGAAAGATGAGGTCACAGGAACTCAGACTATAGTTGAAATGACTTGCCAAGGGAGCAGCTAGGTCAGCCAGATTCTGGGTCCCTGCACTTCTTATCAACATAGGCTTTTTTTCCCCTTCCTTAGTCTGGAAGTTAGGCCAGCCAGTCACCCCAAGAAGCTGGGGATTAACTTAAGATCAATGTCTGGGAAAAAAAGGAGAAGGTGAACTATAGATACAAAAGAGGACGAAATGCAGTGGGGGGCGGGGAATGCTGGTGAGAAGTCAAAGCAATATTTCCAAAGTGAAATGAGAAAGAGGTTTCCACAATCAGTCCAGTTGGGGGGATGTTGTCCCAAATGTATACACCTCACTTCAAGACTCCCAATGTCCAGTGACCTCCTAAAGCCTCAGAATCATGGACCTGTTTTCTCCCTACGCAGAATTCCATTTGGAGCCCACTCCTGCCGCCCCAGAGTCCTCGGGGTCAAGGTGGCTGACCCTGCCTCTGATTCTGCGGGGAGCATAGGAGCATCCAGGCGTGGCCAACCTGAGTAGCACCTGCCCCAAGGACAATGGTGAGGAGGTTGGGGGCAGTGACCGGGGCTCTGGAGTTGGTGCCTGCCGAACATGCGCCCGGGGATCCACTGACAAGGAAGGCAACAGGGAGGAAGGAGAAACTTGGGGAGAAGGATGCTTCCTGGCAGCAGCGTGACGGCCTAGATTAGGTCATACTGGGCATTACCTCTATCTCTAGACTTGAGATCCTGTGAACCAAAAACTAGTTTGCATTAGGTTTCGGTAACCTGTAACCAAAGGAGAGTCCTGACTAATAATCCTATTTCACTTTGTCTAATCCTTCCTCAAGCATGAGTGGCCCTAGTAAATACCTCATGGGTCCACTGTTCCAAGGCAGGGGTTTACAACCCGGGGACGGGGGGAAATGCAGACTCCCAGGCTCCCTACTTGGATATTCTGACTGGCTTGGTCCAGGATGGGCCCAGGAATCTGTTCCTTTAGTAAGTGCTCAGGTACTTCTGATGCAGTTTGCTGGTTTGGGAGCTGGCCGCTCTAAGAAACATGCTTTGGAAATACAGCTCTCAGGAACACTTCTACGTGGGTTGCACAAACTTTCTCCATAGTCGCTTCCATTTCTGGGCATGTACTTTTACAAAATGTACATTGGTCAAAAGACCTTTTGAGGAGCTTAGAATACCCACTGTGCTTAAGGTACTCGCTCAAGTCTCTGCATGGGTCTCCGGGCTCCCGGAGCTCATTTTTCCAGATGCTATTTGGAGAATAAAAGTCACCTTCCGGTCATACCCAGAGTACACAAAAACAGGTGGTTCTAGGTGGGCCAGGAGAAATAACGGGGACCACAGCTTACTTCCCTAAAATGCAGCCAGCCAGCAACGTGGGCACCACAGCTCAGCTGGGTATCAGGCCTTCTGTATGCCTGATGGTGGCCTGTGAAATGTGACATTTTGGGAAAGCTGTTTGGCAGCGGAGCCTTGAAGTTCCTCTTCTCTGACCCAGTAATTCTATTTCTAGGACTCGGAGACTGGAAAATAATCAGAGGAGTATGCAAAAACTAGGCACAGAGATGCTCCTCACAGCCATGTCTCAGACAGACAAACACTTCAGACAACCTGTGTGTCTGTCAGCTGGGGGCTGGTTCAGTTAAGTACATGCTGTAAAAGCATGTCGTCTACATCAAAATGAAAAGCTTCTGCACAGCAATAGGGAATTAACAAAATGAAAGGGTGACCTATGGGATGAGAGAAGATATTTGCGGGGTGGCTGGATGGCTCAGTCAGTTGAGTGTCTGCCTTCGGCTCAGGTCATGGTCCCGGAGTCCTAGGATCGAGCCCCACATCGGGCTCCCTGCTCAGTGGGAACCTGCTTCTCCCTCTACCTGCCACTCCCCCAGCTTGTGCTCTCTCTCTCTCTCTCTCTGACAAATAAATAAATAAAATCTTAAAAAAAAATTTTTTTGCAAACCACATATCTGATAAGGGGTTCCTATCTAAAATATATAGGGAACTCATACAACCCAATAGCAAAAAACAAAAACAAAAAACAATTTAAAACTGGGCCAAAGACCTGAATAAGCATTTTCCCAAAAAAAAGATAGTCAAATGGGAAAAGGTACTCAGCATGACTCATCTAGGAAATGCAAGTCAAAGCTGCAATGAACTTTCGCCTCCCACTGGTCAGAACTGCTCTCCTCAGAGGCAAGAGGTAGGGCGCCTGGGTGGCTCAGTTGGTTAAGCGACTGCCTTTGGCTCAGGTCATGATCCTGGAGTCCCGGGATCGAGTCCCACATCGGGCTTCCTGCTCAGCGGGGAGTCTGCTTCTCCCTCTGACCCTCTCCCCTCTCATGCTCTCTCTCATTCTCTCTCTCAAATAAATAAATAAATAAATAAAATCTTAAAAAAAAAAAAGGCAAGAGGTAAGTGCTGGTGAGGATGTGGGGAAAAAGGGACCCTCATGCACTGTTGGTGGGAATAAATACAGAAAATGTGACTTATGTTTATATAACGGAGTATTATGCAGCCAAAATAAAAGAGAAAGAAATCCTGCCACTTAGGACAACATGAAGGAAACTTGAGGGCATCATGCTAAGTGAAATAAGTCAGAGAAAGAGAGACATGTATGTAGAATCGAAAAAAAAAACACCCAAACTCACAGAAACAGAACAGACAGTGGTTGCCAGGGTACAAACTTTCAGTTACAAGATGAAAAGGTCCTGGAGAATATTATATACAGCGTGGTGGCTGTAGTCAACAATACTGTATTGTATATTTGAAAGCTGCTAGAAGGTAGACGGTAGAAGTTCTCACCAAGAGCCCAAATGTCCATTGACTGACAAATGGATAAAGAAGATATGGTACGTATACACAATGGAATACAACTCAACCATCAAAAAGAATGAAATCTTGCCATTTGCAATGGCATGGATGGAGTCACAGTGTATTATGCTAAGTGAAATAAGTCAGTCAGAGAAAGACAAATACCTTATGATCTCACGCATATGTCGAAGAAACAGAACAGATGAACATATGGAAAGGAAAAAAAAAAGGGGGGGGGGAACAAACCATAAGAGACTCTTGACGACAGAAAACAAACTGAGGGCTGCTGGACGGAGGTGGGTGGGGGAGGGGCTAGATGGGGGATGGGCATTAGGGAGGGCACCTGTTATGATGAGCATTGGTGTTGTATCTAAGTGATGAATCACTGAATTCTACTCCTGAAACCAGATTATACTATATGTTAACTAACCAGAATTTAAATAAAAACTTGGAAAAAGAAAAATAAATAAATAAAAGTTCTCACCACACAAAAAATTTTTAACTATGTGAGGTGATAGATCTGTTAACTAACCTTATTGTGGTAACCATTTTGCAACAATACATATATAAAATCACTACACCATACACCTTAAACTATATAAGGTTGTATGTCAATTATATCTTAATAAAGCTGGGGAAAAAAGTATATTTTTACCACCATGCTCACAAAACAATAGTTACTGAGAATGTTGGTACAAATATATACGTATAAACACATATACACACATGTATCTATATACACACACAAATCCATACATCTACGCATGCATATATACACATACTCTGTAAACTGTTGATATACATGGACATATACACATGTATGCCATATAATGCCAATTTTTTATTTAAAAATATAATGTATCTATATCCATATATAAAACAATAGAAGGAAATCCACCAAAATGTTAACAGTGATTATCTCTGAGTAATTTCTATTTCTGTTTTATAGTTCTATTTTCTAAATCAGAAAAAGTTATAAAATTAAGATATGTCCTTTAAAAATCATGTTTTCAGGGGCACCCGGGTGGCTCAGTCGGTTAAGCGTCTGACTTCGGCACAGGTCATGATCCCAGGGTCCTGGGAGTGAGCCCCGAGTCAGGCTCCCTCCTCGGTGGGGAGCCTGTTTCTTCCTGCGCCCCCCCCCACTCATACTCTCTCTCTCTTGCTCTGCTCTCTCTTTCAAATAAATAATCTTTTTTAAAAATGTTTTCAGAGAATTATTAATAAATGCAAAATGGTTATAACATCAAGTGGAAATATAGGATAAAAATACATATTCAACATGGTACTAATTAGTTTTTTAAAATTTTATATAACTGTTACATCTGTGTAGGGGGATTATAAGTAATTATGTTCTTCATTTCACTTGTGTGCCTTTTCCAAACTTTCCACAATGAAAATGTGTTAAACATTTCAAATCTGAAGGAAAACCCAGTCAATTGCATTGTGAACCACGGTCCCTAGGAAGACCATTTTCCCTGCAGTGCTTTTGGTCCCTGGGAGCCCCTTGCAGCTGGGCAAATTTTGTGAGGGTCATTAGGACCCAGGGCTTCTTCTGAGCCCCATAGCCCAGGATGAGCACCCACCTCCCAGCGGCGCCCCATTCACACAGGCCAGTGAACAGCAACTATGCACTGAAAATCACCCGGATAATGACCATTCACTGAGCTTTCCCTATGCGCCTGGGCTTGCGCCCCGTGCTTCACAGGCATCACCTCCTTGAGCTCAGTGAAGGCCAGTCTGTCTAATTCCCAAACCCAAGCTCTTACCAGTGTCAGACTCCGGTAAGGAATAAGACTTTCAGGTATATCTTTATGGTAAGTCTGTTTCTAAGGAGCACGTCTGGTATGCCCAGAATGTTCTTTCTGATCCATTTATGTAAGAATAATGTTAAATTTTTACCTTGACCTATAATTATTGCCCCCAGAGGTCATTTTCATAAATAACAGATCCCACTGCTGTTCTTGTTTTCTTTCTACCTACCTTTTCTTCCGATGGGTAAAAGCCAATTGCTCTCATGACAAAAGGAAGCTCTGACAGGCAAATGTGTTCCGACACCTTTCTGGTCTCCATTGTATCAATACCTTGACTACGGAGCTGAGAATAGTAAAAATAGTCTTCCAGCTCCTGCGTGGAAATAAAATGGAAACACAACACACATTTTGGCTTCAATCTGAAGCATCCATTAGGGCTCCAAGGACATTTTCTAGAAAGTACATTTTGAGCTCAGTGGGGAAAAGAGCTTTGGAAAAAAGCGAGAAGGTTCACCCCAGGCACATTTGTTTTACGAACTTAACTAGATGTTACCAGCAAGTGTTTACTCCGAGGACAATTACCCTGTAGAATTTTCCTTCCCTGCCACCAGGCACCAGACCATAGAATGGGGTCAAGTCTTCGCCCCCAAGAGAAACTGCTGCCTCCAGAGCACTAGAAGAGTAACAGAAACATCACCGTTAGAAGGTGCTCACGCGTGAGTGCAGGTCAGCTGGCGTCGCCTGGCCCCACGGACCTCTGCAGGGTATCACAGCGCCCGTTCAATTAAGGACTCTAGAAACCTGTTAGGAAAATTCCCTCAAAAATGAAGCTGAAAACGAAAAATTTCATTTCCATGTGGAATCTGGTGGTACAGGGCACCCGCTTAATGATAGTGACACTCTCTCGCTGATGACAGGGCAGGCGCTTGGCAATATGTCTGCAGTCTTTGGGGAACACGGCTCTCCTGAGGGAGGGAGGGCTCCTGTGTGCTGAAACCACAGTCCTCCCCAGCAGAGCAGCTTCACCCGTAATGTGAGATCTGCATATGACCAGAGCCAAAAACCGGGATAAGTGCAGGTACACCGTCAACACTAATTGCTTCCATAAAAACTCGGGAGGCCACCAGGGACCCATGCCAGTCAGATAAAAATAACCCTCTGCTCTCTAACATGGGGTCAGGCTTTCTAAAAATAGGCACTGTAAATGGTAAGAAAACCTACTTTTTGTAGGAGACTGACTTTGTCCCATACAAAATACACATAATACAAAATCATCGTAATAATCCACTAACTGGATTTCTGCTAATCAGGCCATTAGCCTCTTCGTGGGGTTATTAAAACACACTTCAGCGTAGACCACAGTGGGGAAGTGGTTAAGTATCCAGAATCTGGAGTCGAAAGGACATGCGTGCGAGTCTTGGCTCTGCCACCTGTAAGCAATATTATCACGGGAGATAACAATCTCCCTGAGCTCCAGTTTCCTCATCTGTAGAATGGGAATAATCACAGGTCTGCCTCATGGGTGGCTGTGGAAATGGAGTGAAGCCACATAAAGGGCTGGACACGAAGCCCTCTGTTCTTCTCCTGTGATGAGTGTTTGTTAAGGTGTGCTCTAATCAGAAAGAGCTGGATGTGAACCCCAGCCCCTCCACGTAATCCAGTGCTTGGGAAGGTCCTTTAACACCTGGGAGCTATCTCCAGACACATGGCGATACCACATGGGGATACCAATAGTCCCTGCCTCACAGAATGGCTATGAGATGAAATCGGACAATGCATGGAAAGCAGTGAGCACAGGGCCTGGCCCAGAGAAGGCTCAGTACAAGGTAGTTAGGGTTATTCTTTTCTGTTGAACTGGCTATCAGTATACACCTACGCCTCTCTTCAAAGAGTCAGCCACAAAACCGTCCTGGCCGCCTTGTCAGGCCCTGCATAAGCAGGCTGTGTTGGGGCCTGGGGAGGGGCTGGCGTGTTCTCCAGGCGGGTCTGAGGCCCCTCTGCAGCAGGGCCCAGGCTTCCCCCAGCTCTGATACTGGCCATCGAGGCAGGTGTCTAGCCAAGAGGCCTCCCTCTCTGTGGCCTCCAGGCCTTGCCCAGGCCCAATCCCGACAGGCTCAGTGGGAGGCCACTTTTAGCCACGTGGCTCTGGAACAGGGCCAGGCGAAGGCCAGAAGTGATGCAGAGGAGACTGTCACTACCAGGAGTGCCTGGGGACGACTCACCGGAGCTCCGAATGCCCTGGGAGCAGCTTTCTGGTGGTCAGGAATGTCCTATGTCTCCTGCTTCCTGGCCAATGTCAACGGACCCGAGAGAGCCGGAGGAACAGGACTGGGGTGGTCCAACAGGAGCCGGAGAAAGAGACCCACTGTCCCTGTGGTCAGAGCTCCAGCTTGTGGGAATCTGAGGACTGTCAGTGGCCATGGTCGTGCTGGGCAATGAAATCCAGCTGTACCGAGAACGAAGCCAACAGCAGAGCCGGGCAGAGAGCAAATGCTGAGGGCACGTCGTTCCTGCTCTTCCTGCAGGGTGGACCTGAGTTGCCCATGACCGTCTCATGAATTCCCCTTTGTGCTTAAGCTGGGTTCCTAATGCTTGCAACAAAAAAAAGGGGGTCATCAGGGCACAAAGGGGAAGCACATTTATTGAAAACCTTCTGTGTGCCGAGACATACAGACAGTACTTCTGGGAAATGGGCTCAATCAGGAGAAGCAGCGAGTACTGTAACACATGGTAAGCGCTCAGCAAATAGTAAGCACATAGTAAGTGTTCGCAAATGCTCCCCAGGGGAGGAGGCGAGGGGAGGAACAGCAATGGTGGTAACCTTTACTCTCAAAACCATGATGATACCCATTTAACAGATGGAGAAACTGAGACTCAGAAGTTAAGGGACTAGCCTCAGGTCATGCCGCAAGCAGGCAGGAAAGGCGATATTTGAATCGGGGATTTCTACTGTCCTCTGAGCACAACAGCAGGACTAGAGGTGGGTGTGAAGTCGAGCATCAAAAGGTAACAGGGGATTTAAAAACAGGTGCAAGACAAGGGGAGGAGAGGGGGGCATGCCAGCAAAGACGGGGCAAAGGCCCAGTATGTGTGGACTGACCCCTAGAAGATGCCAGGGAGGGAGGGGCGCACCCGGGAGAAGATCGACGTGCTGCAGGGGCAGTATCTGGGCCCAGGAGCACCCTGACAAAAATCGTAGGAACGTGAGATGACACAGCATCTTAATTTCACCCTCCGACACAGTCGGTAGACCAGCAGGGAATTGTGTTTGTTTACTTGTTTGGGGTTGTTACATTTCTTCCCATTAGTGAAGCACTGAACATATTAAGACACCAGAAGCAGCAATGAAGTGCTAATTAGTTTATAACGATCCTTTGTCCCCACAACAGATTAAATTGAAATTCTCAGAAGCCTGGACTCTGGCCAGGCCCAGGAAAGCCATTGGAAAGCGGGTGCCTCTTTTTTTTCCCTTTGATCTCTACCATGATTATGGAGAAGAGGACAAAAATGAAAAGGAGGAGATTTTGTTCTGTCCCCAGGGTGTCGCTCCCACCATTCCAGGTGACAGACTAGCCGTCAAGGAATCAAGCAGCTTGTTCTGGGCACATGATCGGGAAGTGCTTTTCAAAGTGCGAGCTCACCTCCAGCTTCTAAATTCCCAAATTCCCAAAATCTGCTCTCTTAGCTGAAGGCAGAGGCGAAGGTCAGAGTTGCAACTGCAACCTAAAACAAGTGTGGCTCCAAAACAGATTTACCTGGCCATTTCTGCTCCTATTCAGGTTAAGAGAAGAAGCTTCAATGTGTGCCATAAGAGAGAGATGTGCACTTGGCACATGAATCGAAGGAAGGAAAGATTCTTTGGGAAGGAAGGTGCCTCCGAGCTGTCTGTACCCAGCTCTTGAGTGTGACGCTGCCAGGCAGGAGGCTATCTGAGAGGCAGGGGCTGGGAGAAGGTGCTCAGGGATGGGAACCGGCTCTGCCCTGTGGCAGCTCATGGAGTTTGGGAGGATGAGAGGATGCTGTAGTACTTGCCCTTTTTAGCAAGGCTCTTTAGTAAGGCCTTCACAAAGAATAGAAGAGAGGAAATAGTTAATGTATTGAGCCCCTAGCTCTGCGCTATTCAGTCCTTACAAGGACCCTATAGAAGTCCCTATTATTATCCTCCTTTCCCCCCATTTCACAGACAAGGAATCTAAAGATCAAAGATGTTAAGAAACAGGCCCTAGGTCTCACAGCCAGCAGAAAGGAGGCTCCACGTCCAAACCCATGTCTCTTTGACCTCAAAGTCTGAGTACTCTGTGATGCTCCACCCTGGACCTCTCCAGCCTCACCCAAGGCAGAGTCTCAGCTGAGGGCAGGTGGGTGAGAAGAGCAGGCTGGAAACACGTTTCAAATAACACTCTCACTATTGCTGTTACACAGGCTTCGGAGATTTGGGCAAGATCTTTCTAGCTGGTGTGAATTTGCGGATGACAGAGTGGGAAGTATTTCAGGGGCTGCGTGTGAACAAGGTAGAATCACACTGCCTTCACTGCAAATACCATTGGTCCCTGAAGCAAAACAATAATCTTTTGTCTGCATACCCATATAGATGGATGTCATGGGGAACAACCCCAGGCAGTCGCCTGAAGTAGGGGCTTCACACCTGTCTGCCGTGGCTGGTTAAAAAACGAGGGTCTACACCTGACACCTGCCTTGTGGGGCTGAGCTTCTCGCTTGATCACGTACCTTAAGTTGATCTCCCACTGCACCACCGATCGATCCTGTCCTCCAGCTGTGAAGGCATAGCAGCCATCATAGGAAACGGCCATTCCCGCCACCCCGTTGGGGTGGCATATAATAGCAGATGTCTTGTGTGGATTGCCATCAACTGGTAAGATCTGAAGTCCAACCTAGAGAGGAATATGTCATTGAAAATTCAGATTCAGATAACTGGGCCCCAGGCTCAGGCCCGGCACATTCGCATGTCACCTCCAGTGCTGTTTACGGGAAGGACCTGAGTGTCTGGAACCACCTCAGTGTGTGAGAGCCCCCGTTTCATGGGGTTAGAGGTTCACACACACACTGACCCCTGTGGGTTGGTCCCTTAGGAGAGAGATGCCAGCTTGCGGTAGAGACACAGGAAGGAAGCTTTTACCCGTCTTCACGGTCAGACGTCCAAGGTTTTCCAGAATAATTCTGGAATCCTATGATTTTATGCTTTTCTTTTTTTTTTAAAGATTTTATTTATTTATTTGAGAGAGAGAGAATGAGAGAGAGCATGAGAGGGAAGAGGGTCAGAGGGAGAAGCAGACTCCCTGCTGAGCAGGGAGCCCGATGTGGGACTCGATCCCGGGACTCCAGGATCATGACCTGAGCCGAAGGCAGTCGCTTAACCAACTGAGCCACCCAGGCACCCTTTATGCTTTTCAATAGATTGGTTTTTTTTAAGATTTTATTTATTTATTTGACAGAGAAAGGCAGGCAGAGGGAGAGGGAGAAGCAGGCTCCCCGCTGAGCAGAGAGCCTGATGTGGGACTCTATTCCAGGACCCTGGGATCATGACCTGAGCTGAAGGCAGACTCCCAACTGACTGAGCCACCCAGGCGCCCCTCAATAGATTATTAAACGTAGAACTAAGTGTAGCTAGTTTGCATGTCTTTATAAGATTTTTTCACGTAAATAAATTGGAAAGAAAAAAATCCTTTGGTGACCACGTGTCTTCATGGGAGTACAGAAAATGCAGTAACTGCTCTGAAATGCTTCCTAAGACCCAATTTTCACTCATTTATGGCAATTTTCAGTATCACTGTTGACCAAGATGAAGTAGCTGGGCTTGGCTGTGACACCCGGCATCCCGGAGTCTGATTCTACTTGGGGCTGACTGTTAATCAAACCACAGAGAGTCATCTCCCCAGGCAGAGAGCAAAGGCTGATACCTTGTCTCTGTTAATAAACACCATGTAGCGTTTCTGCAGTTCCAAGGTGGTTTTCACTGGGAGGATTTGTATCTGCTCAATGGGAGACCCAAAAACCGGCCCAAGAAGTGTCTTTCTGCATGAGAAAAAGAAAAGAAACATTTTTTTTGGGAATTCCACAAACCTGAAGGTAGGTTTCATGACTAGCTACCTTTCATGATACCGTACACATTTTGCATTCCCAATTTTCTGTCCTGTCATTCAGCGAAGAACCTCCCTCTCAACCGCTGCTAACAGCTGCCATAAATAAGGGACAACAGCTCCAAACAGTAAATGCTCCAGGGAAAGTCTGATTGTGAAGAATGCTTTCGTGGTGGAGGCTCTGAGTTTCCTCCTTGACAGCTGAGTGAAGGGAACATTATGCCTCGAGAATGTGTACAGGAACAAGGGACGAGAAAAACGCGGTGAGGAAGTGATATGTGTTGCCAGGATGTAGGAAGACACCCCTTCCCCAGTGGCAGGCATCAGAATGAGGTGCCGTCCGTGGCTCGAGACACCTGACATACAGGTCTGCAAGTGCAACACACAGACTTCCCAGACACTGTCTGTGAAAATAAGTGTGATGAATGGTGCCCCGGCAATGGTCAGACTTCTTTAACTCAGACTCTGTTAGGAATCTGATCCAAGGTGAGGTTACAGCACATTACCCTAAACCCAGAGCAGTACCTTCCCTGAAGCGAGCAAAACAGGAGCTTCAGGATCCCCGGCTCACACAGGTACCTTCTGAGGCCTCGGGGGAGTCCTGCTGTGTTTTGTTCTTAATTATGTACCCTTCTTTTCTTTTTTAATGGGGCCCACAAAATTGAATACACTTCACATCCCACAAAAGCTGGATCTGCTCCTGTGTAACCATTACCATCTTTTTACATGATAAGCCTCTCATGGTTTAGATGTGTTTTCTTCCTGTGTCCCCTGTGCCCAGCCCATGACTGGTGGGGACAGTACACACTCCAGGTGTGTGCACTGACTAAATGAGGCGCAAATCCATTAAGCAGGCTTTTTTAAGGACCTTCTGTGCCAGGCACTGTGTGAGGTGCTCGGGATACAGACGTGAGTGAGATTTGGTCACTGCACTGAGCTCACAGCCTGACAAGAGATGACAGACATGGAAGCACTGAGGGGAGAGGTGTAGGAACAAGCGAGTTCAGGGCTCAGAGACTGCTCTGAGGAAGGAGACATGTGAGCTGGGTCTGCAGTGATGAGCTGGAAAGGTAGAGAATATGGAGGTGACAGACAACAGGAGGAAAACACAGGTGGTGCAAGGGCGTGGGAAGTGGACTGTTGTTGGAAAAGTGAAGAAAACAAAAGGGGGCAGGAGCAGTAGGTGGAGGGCAGTGAGCTGAGCAAGGGGGCCAGGGCCAGCTGCGAGGGTGCCACGGAGGGGTGGGCTCAGGTGGGTGATCCACGGTCAAGTGCATATAGATGGAGACTTAGGTGAGGTGTCAGAAATGCTAAATGGCCACCTGAGGGCTCATGCACCAGCTAGCTGCAGGTCACCCTGAGTAGGGATGTCTGAGGACCTTCCCCGAGTACCGCCCAGTGGACAGAGGCAGGGAGAGCATGGCTAGGGGCAGACTCTGGTTTGAATCCTGGCTCGGACCCTTAAAGAGTAGGGCAAGGCTGTGGAGAACGTGGAACCACCACATGCTATTGCTGGCGCCGCTTTGGGAAACAGTCTGGTGGTTCCTCAAATGGTTCAACAGAGTTACCATGACCTGGTCATTCCACTCCTAGGTCTCTGCCCAAGAGACATGAAACAGGTGTCTGCACAGAAACCTACACACAAATGTTCACAAAAATAGCCCTGAACGGAGACGACCCAAATGTCCGACAACAGGTGGATAAATAGGGTATGTCTATACAGTGGAATATGATCCAGCCATAAAAAAGGAATGAAACACTGTCACACACTATACCATGGACGAGCTCTGAAGAATCTTGCTGACAGAAAGAAGCCAGACACAAAAAGTCACATATTATATGATTCCACTTAAATGAAATATCCAGAATAGACAAAGCCACAGAGACAGAACACAGCTTGGTGGTTGCCAGAGGTGGGGCAGGAGTAGGGGCAGGGAGGGAGGGAATGGGGCTTGTTTCTGGGGTGATGGAAATGCTCTTGAATTAGACAGTGGTGATGGTTGCACAACTTTGCGAATATAGTAAAAATCACTGGAAAGGGGTAAATTTTATGATATGTAAATTACATCCTAATTTAAATTATAAATAAGAAAAAGGGGGAAAAAAAGTCAAACTATTCAGCGTCCTGGTGCCTCAGGTTCCTCACCAGTAAAGAGGGACAATGACACACCTTCCCCTGAGACCGTGGTGAATAGTAAGTCGGTTAATATACGTAAAGCACTCAGAACAATTTCTGACACATAGGAGGGCCATGTAACTGTCACCTAGCTTTGTTAAATGTATCTGACAATTTCGTAAAGTTAGTATCTTTTGCTTCTGATTGAAAAAGTATCACATACTCATTGTGAACAATTTCACACATTTAGACGTGCACAGGATAATCTACCTAGACCCCCACATTGCTGCACCCTTTAATCCCCAAGTAATCATGGGTAAGTTTGGTGTCTAGGACTCGAGAATTTCTTTTATATATTCTAACCTATATAATTATAATGTTATGTGAAAAGTAGATAAATTATAGAAATGTAATTTTATAGGAAAATGTGTTATGTCTTGGAGATATTTCCATGTTACTACACAGAGAGCTTACTTTTTCTTTTCTAAAAGCAGCATCATGTTTCAGTGTAGTGATGAGTCATTATTTAACTAATCCCCTATTAATGGACATCTGGATTGTTTCCAATTTTGGAAAATATTTTCGAGCAAGACATCCTTTTACTTATGTCTTGGCATACTGTGTGAGGACTTCTGTGGGCTACATTCCTAGACATCAGATGACATGATGCAATTTAGCAAAGCTCTCCCAAAAGGACACTCCAGTTTCCGCATCCCCCCAACAGCCAGTGAGAGTGCCCACCCACTTATACTTTGCCAACACTGTGCCCTGTCAATCATTTTTATTTTGCTAATCTGATTTGTGAAAAATGATGTCCTGTTTTCATTTGCATCTTTGATACACTAGTGAACATCTGCTCACAGGTTTATTGGCCTGTTTCTGCGAACTGCCTTTCAAGTTCTAAATATTTTAAGTGCATTTTGTGTTCCCTCTCTCGCTGTGTCTCTCTCTGTCGGATAAATAAAATCTTTAAATTAAAAAAAAATTAAAAAAATTAAATTGTTTTGGATAAGTCCCGCCCCATGAAAAGGCAATTCCTTCCCAATTAAGCTGTGGTTATGAGGCTTTGTTATTCCTACAACTTAAAAGATGCTTTACGCAAGGGGCTTTACTTTGGAGTGATGGAGATGTTCTGGAACTAGATACAGGTGTTGGTTGCATGACATTGTGAATGCATTAAATGCTACTAAGTTGTTGACTTTAAAATGGTTAGGTTTTTTTTTTAAGATTTTATTTATTTGAGAGAGAGCACGAGAGGGGGGAGGGGCAGAGAGAGAGGGAGAGAGAGGATCTCAAGCAGACTCCCGCTGAGTGCAGAGAACCGCAGGCAGGGTTCAAGCCCACAGCCCCAAGATCATGACCTGAACCGAAATCAGGAGTCAGACACCCTACTGACTGAGCCAACCAGGCACCCCTAAAATGGTCAGTTTTTATGTTTTACGTTACTGAATTTCACTTTGATAAATTATTTTTTTAAAAGACGCTTTAGAAAAGAAATTTTAAAATAAAAATAAAAAGGGGTGCCTGGGTGGCTCAGTCAGTTGGGCGTCTGCCTTCAGCTCAGGTCGTGATCCCGGGGTCCTGGGATCGAGCCCCGCATCAGGCTCCCTGCTCTGCGGGGAGCCTGCCTCTCCCTCTCCTCCCTGGCTCCTGCTCTGGTGCTATCTCTGTCTCTCTCAAATAAATAAATAAAATCTTTTTAAAAAATAAAATAAAAACAAAAAGATGCCTTATGCTAATTTCCAATTGTCAGGGGCAGAAACTCCAAACTATGTGGCTCGAAGTCCCTGCTTAGTAACTGTTAGTGGGAACTTGGAGCCTGGGGCCCTTCCTCCCCAATCTACCTGCTCAGTGAACTCAGATTTACTCCGGACTTGCGAATCTGTGGGATATTCCATGTCCAAAAAGTTTGTATCCATTAAAGATGATGTATGAAGATTCTGAGATATTCCTAAAATTCCTTTTCTACCTATTTCTTTCAAATGTCTCCTTCCTAGCGTTTTAATATTTAAAAAGAAAAAAATTGTGCTGGATTTCTCTCCTGTTCCTGCCACATGACATGGCATTTCTCAATCATTTTTCCTTGTACCCTTCTGGAAACAAATGTTTAAAAGAGAAGAAGATTATGATGATGATCTTGGCTGATCCTGGCCTTTGAGGACCTATCTTCCTGAGAAAGATTTCATGACGCCGATCTTCCTCAAGCGTGGGGCCAGCTACTGCTGGCTTCGCACTTCCTTCTCTCAGGTGAGGTCACTAATGCATTCTCACCTGTTGCTCAGCCTCAGTGCCTCTGCTCTTTCCAGATGTACCCACGAGGCAGCCAAACCACAGGAGGAGAGGGGATGCCCTCTAGGGCTGACTAGGTGGGAGCCCACGGCCAGGGCTGCACCTGGGCCCAGTAGTACCAAGTAGAGGACAGAGCCAGAACTAGGCTCAAGGGTTAAGTCCCGCCCCATCCTGAGCAGCAAGTTCTGTCACCTCTCTGAACCTCAGTGGGATACTACTTGGTGGTGGTGGTGTGGGGGGCCGTTGTTGAAGATGAATGCAGAGCCCTGGTGCAAGGATGATGCACCATGATCTGTATCTATCACAAGGAGCAAACCTGGGGAGCCCCGGGCCTAGCAGCACAAGGGCCAACCACAGACGTAGGCCTATTTCAGGACAGAGGAGCTGCTGCTCAGAGATGCAGAGCTTTGGATGCCCTGGGCTTGGTCGTTCGGCCACTCTTCTATCTGCTTTTCCCTTCTGGAGTCCTCTCTTGTCTCATGGCTCTAAAGTACCATGTGCTCCTGACCTCAAATGTGGACCTCAGCCCAGCCTCTCCCACAAACTCCACTCCCCTACCAAGATGCAAATTCCATGGCGGCAGGAACACTGCTGTTGGCATCCCTACCTTCAGCACCTCGGACAGAACCTGGCTCAGGTAGAGGCTGGGCAAATACTGAGTGAACATGTGAATGTCATCAGGTAAACTTAAAAACTCCCTTAGGAACTCAGAGTAAGGAAAATCGCACAATTAGGGGCACCAGGTTGGCTCAGTCAGAAGAGCATGTGATTCTTGATCTCGGGGTTCAGTTTGAGCCCCACAATGGGTATAGACATCACCTTAAAAAAATAATAAAATCTTTTTTAAAAAATCGCACAATTGGTAATTTTCAAGTGAAAATATATGTTTTTTTATCCACGAGACAAAGATGGGAGAGTTTATAAAGCATCAGCGACTTTGCGGGTTCCTTCCCTGGGTCTCAGGCACTGAGCTCTGGGTCCCTCATCTCTGTGCAGTGCTGGGCTCTGGATTTGCCTCCTGCCTCTGGCAACTTCCCAGCCACGTTACCCTGGGTGACAATCACTCAACTCTTCTGTGCCTCAGTTTCCTCCCCTGCATAGTGAGTGATAGTAAAGGTAGCCAAGCTGCTCACAGGTCTGTAAGTTGGGACTTAAAAGAAGCCGGGGGCAGAGAAACTGATCTAGGCATCACAACAGCGGGAAGCTCCTCATGCTTACCTGCACATTTTGGTAGTAGAATTAAAAAGTTTCACTTTGTAGCCACTGTTGCAAATGAGCAGAAAGAGTTCCTTGGTGAGTGGTGGGTACCAGACCATACAGGTGGGGTAGTTGCCCTGGTCGGTGCGGTGAATGTCCAGGACCTCCAGGTTGTCTCTGTAGCTCCTGAGAAGATTATATTCAATCTGCAGAGGAGGCCAGATAGACACACCTGAGGACTGAGCCAAAGGAAGGCAGCCAACAGTCCTAGTCTGGGAGAGACAGTATTGGTCCTCCTAAGGGAAGACTTGCCTAGACTCTCACTCCTCATAGGCTGCCATGATGGAGCATTCCTTCTGAGCAGAGACAACGTGCTAAGTGCTGTAAAAACATGATGCCACTTAACACTCCTGACTCCCCTGCCAAGTCATGCTGTTGTGCCCATTTTACAGATTAGAGAACAGATGTTCAGAGAGGTTCAGGGGCTTGCCCAAGGTCACACAGCTAAGAAGTGGTAGGGTGAGAATTCAAATTTAGGTCCAAACAGACTCCAACACCTGAACTCTCACAGTTGTGTTATACTGTCTCCCTTACCATTATCTTGGGAACTCCTTGAGAGTAGGAACTAATTCATATCTAAATCTCATCGCTTAACAGTCATAAATTAGCAGCTTGCTGAATTTCATCCATAGGTAGGTTTTGGTGGCCAGCCCATAATGGATGGATGATTGGATGGCCACAATAAAGGACAGAAGGGCATGGAAGAAAGGGAGGGAGCGAGGAACAAAGTTAAGATAGATAGATACAGATCTTCTTTGACTCACGATGGGGTTACATTCCAATAAACCACTGTAAGTTGAAAATACCATAGATCAAAAATGCATTTAATACACCTAACCTGCCAAACTCCATAGCCTAACCTGGCCCACCCTAAACACTCTCAGAACACTGACATAAGCCTACAGTTGGGCGAAATCACCCACCACGAAGCCTATTATATAATGGAGTATTGACTACCCCATGTAATTTATTGAATTCTGTGCGGAGAGTGACAAACAGAATGGCCGTGTGGGTGCAGGTGGCCATCAGTGCACCGGCTGTCGAGCCCCATGGTTGCGTGGCTCACAGGGAACTGTGGCCGCGGCCCAGCATCGCAAGAGGGGATGGGACAAGACCCAAATTCAAAATGCCAAGTGCATTTTCTACTGAAAGGAGTATTGCTTCTGCACATTCTGGAGACCAAGTGTCGACTCAGAAAGGTTTATGCTACCTCATTGTACGTTCATTTTCTCCAACAAGCACCCAGACTGTGGGCCCGGCTCTATGCCAGATGCCAGGGACACAACAAAAATGAAACACCCACCATCCCGGTGGCAAGGTAAATGGACACTGAACAGCTCACCAAGAGCCTGTCTCTCCCGAGGCTCAGCAGTCTCGGCTCATTGCTGTCCAGATGAACCCCAAACAGGAGACTGCAGATGCTTTTGCGATGAGAACGAAGCCTTGCCAGATATTCCCAAACCCGGTGTCCATTTTGGACTACCACCATGTAAACGGCCACAGTAAAGTGTACATCCTGAATAGGAGCCAAAGAGCAGAAGTTATTCCTTTTTAAGTTTTGTAACTTAAAAATCATCACCATGTTTTTCATACTTATGTTGCCTTTAGAATATTTTATCCAAAAAGATATTTTAGTCTATCTGAGCAAGTAAAAAAATCACACCCATTTTACAGATGAGAAAATTACAGTTAAAAGTAGATAACCCACAAAGGTAAGGGGCAGGGGGAGAAAGCATCTACCTGACACCGTGGCCTTACGCTTCTTTCCAGTCCCCAGCTCATTCTGTGTGGAAAACTGAGACCCTGACTCTTTTTGCCTTTGTTCTCCCTACTCTGTATCCAGCTACACAAAATGAAAAAGGTATGAGTTCTAAAAAGTATCACGGCTGAGAGTGAGCTCGGTGGGAGAGTGTGCGAGAGCAGCCTGAAGGGAAAGGGGTACCTGGGTCAGGAGCCGCAGGGGTGAGGAGGCTCAGCAGCGGGCCCGTAAAGGTGGGGAGCACACACACCACGGGAGGTGCCGAGCACAGAGGTTGGGAGTGGGGGAGCGGCAGAGACGTGGGAAGCAGCCGTGGCTCTTTCCCCTCGGCCAACATCAAGGCGAGATGAGCACATGGTAGACCAGGAGAGCTGGCAGGAAGGGAGAGGCTAAAGGTCTCAGAAAATCTTTACTGAGCTTAGGAGCACTATTCACAGAGGGAAGGAACAGAATCCAAAACACCAGGGGAAGACAGTGCTTTGAGATAAATGAGAATGTCATCTTGTCAAAAATCAAAGGGAAAGATGAAAGAACGGATGCCGAGGAAGGGGTCCAGAAACCAACACACCAAAATGAGCTGTCAGGATGGCAGAATCCCAGTCTGCAAGTCCTGAGGCCTGGTCTCGTTTCGAGCAAGAGTCCCTCCTCTCTTTACAGTGGCTTTGTGGAGACACAGTTCCCACTGCACACAATGCACACCTTTAAAGTGTATGACCCCGTGGTTTTTAGTGTATTCACAGAACTCACCCCCACAATTTTAGAGCATTTTCATGACCCCAGAAAGAACACCAAATCCACGAGCAGTCACTCCCCATCCCCCTGCTGCGCCCCCCTCCCCGCACCTCCACCAGCCTTCTCTCCCTTTTGGTCGTAAACAAGGTTGCTAGATCACAGGACAGCACCCAGTGGAAACACTCACAGCAGTTGCCATGTACTGGGAGTCATGGGAGAAGCTGATATGAGTCACACTGGTTCTGGAATATTTGAAAGGCTCTGGGATTTGGTTTTCTAAGGACATTGCATCAAGAATGTAAACTGTCCCCTCAGTGAAGCCAACTCCAAGAAGGGCTCCTGAAATCACAAGCCAGAGAACAATGCTGGAAAAGGACTTCATTTCTTCAGAAAACATCAACTCCCGGGCCAGACTCTGTTCTAGGTGCTGAGGAGACAGCAATGAACATAACAGACCGGGACTCTGGCAGGAGAAATAAACGGAAAAGCATGAGGCACTGGGGTGAGTGGTCAGACACGACTAGGCACGGAGTGCTGCAGGGTCCCGAGGGACAAGTGTCTCATCTAGCCGGCTGTGGGGACAGCGGTCAAGGTAAACTTCCTGGAGCCGACACAGCCAAGGGCACAGCCATTTGGGTCTGGTTTTTTTTTTTTTTTTTTTGGAGCCCAGGATAGGCCGATAAAATGAAAATACCTTCAGGATTGTAGGTTAGACTCTGGACGCCAAGCCCCTTCTCAAAGACCCTGCTGAAAAGGTACTTTTTCTTTTCATAATCCCACACTTTGATCATCCCACAGAAACTCCCAATGGCGATAAGGGGTTGGTATGGGTGGCAGGAGATGGCACAAATGGCATCCTTGGGCTCCACGAATAACTTCTCGAGTTTGGTCCCATCTGTCGTTAAGTGGTACACTGTTGCATCAGATGTTCCAATGATAAGATTCCTGTTTGCCAAGGAGAGACCCAACAGTATCAGTGTTTGCAGGGAATGGGGCACGTCAGCTATTCTGCTTCTAATTGCACAGGAAACGCCTCTGTCGTCTGTAATTTAGTGACATTATTAACCCAACATCTCCAAAAATACACTACCAATATCCAACAGCCTCCATTTGCAAGAGAAAAAGCCCACATTTCTACATGTAAATTGAGTCATTAAGTATGCAGATGGACAGTCAGTTGTACAATTAGCTAATCTGCACATGCAAATATTCATTTGTGTATGCAAATACGGAGTTTGGCGCACACACACAGATGTGCCTGCAAATACTGCAAGGGTAATTAAGCAGACTCACAGATAATTCAGTCTTGAAATGTTATGGCTATTAATTATCAAATGCCTTTAACCGCAGCGGCTAGGACAAACTCGCCTTCAAGAAAAGACACCAAGCTACAGCAAAGGACTCCAAACACAACAGAGATTAGAGCTCAGGAATAAGCCCTTTCCAGTTTCCATTTGCTAAAGATTCTTAAAAGAAAATAATGCTTCATTTTAAAAAATGATTGAACAGTGACTATAATCAGCTGTGGAGATCCACCTGAGAGCCCCACAAAGGACCTCCGAGGAAATCCTGTTCTATCACGTGTCCCGGGAACAAGGTGAACTATTCCACCGCCTGCCGACTAACAGAGAGGACATCAATCATTTGTTGGCCATTCAAATGACTAGATTCATTAACAACTTACCTTACAATAAAAAGGTCACCTTTTAAAGTGCAGTCTGGAGGATAGTTTGATTTTTCAGTGGGCGGAGCTGCTGGGGTCTTTGAAAACGACAGGGTCCTTATGGAGCTCAGTTTGAAGTTGCTGTACCAGTTAACAATGGACAGGGTGTGATCGTAGAACTTAATGTTGCCTCTAATATCACCTGTGACAATATAGCTGAAATGGAGAAAAACGCCCGTTTGGTAACTAACAGTAGTACCAACTACTGAACAGCTAATTATAAGTCCGGCTCTGGACTCCAGGTGTTGTAAAAACTTCACTTAATACTGTCCTATGAGGCTGATTTTACTGTTGTTCTGCTTTACATCTGGGAAACTAAGGCTCAGAGAAGTTGAGAAATTTGCTCAAGGCCTGGGGTTGCCAGATTTAGCAAATAAAAACGCAGGATGCCCCACGAAATTTGAATTTCAGTTAAGCAATGAGTAATCTTTTAGTAGGAGTATGTCCCAAATATCGCACGGGACCGACTCACACGGGGCAACCCTATGGGCCCCATGGCTAGACTGTGCAGGGATCCAGGTGCACCTAACGCAGAGCACATTCTCGCTCTCCTCTCCCTGCCCTCCCAGATCAGCCCTGTGCAGTGGCAGTGGGCGGTGTTGACATTCTCTGCCACGAGACCACAGAGGACACCAGAGCCCATCTACCAGCCCTCCGAAACCACAGAGCTCTGCAACAGCACACAAGCTGCTTTACAGGAAGGCCCTGCTCTCAGAGCCATAGTAAAACCCTGTCCAGTCTCACAGCCCAAGGCAGTGTCGCGTGACAAAATGCCTTTTATTTCCAGTCCTCAGATCCATCCCAAATGGGCTTTTTTTTTTAAGCCTCTGACATAGGTGTAATCACGGGGGGGATAGGGGGATGAATTTCCTCTTATAGATGCAAAGTGATTAAATGCAGTTTCCGATTAATAAGCAAGGCAGGTAGGCAGAGTAATTGGCTACAACATCTTTCACTGCCCTCTGCTGGACAGAAGCGGCAAAACAGGCCAAGTGTTTCCAAGACCCTTCGTGGGGGCCCTCTGGTCCTGGCTGGCTTTTATTTAACATGGAGAGAGGGGGGAACCCAGGCCTTGGTCTTTATTGGGCCCTAACCCCTCCAACTAATTGAAGGTTGATTCATCATCAGTTGCAATTCTACTATTGTCTTTTCCACACCCCTGGGTGAGGACAATTTGCATTTGTCTTTGTAAAGCCATGCCAGGACCTCACTGCTTCCTGTATTAAAAGAAATGAAAGCAGGGCTTCTGGAAAGCAGATGGCACAGTGACTCCAACTACATGTGCATGGTCCCTGTCATTAGGCAGCGTCCTCCATCCCTGTTGGGAACTTCTCGAACATACTAATAAGGACTATTTCATCTAGAGCTCCCCTGTGCCAGACAAGGTGCTACGAGTTTTACATGGCTTGCCTCAAAATCCTCATGAAATCACTCTGAGAGAGAGTGTGGTCATGCCCATTTTGCAGATGGAAAAATGGAGGTTCAGCCAAGTTAAGTCCCTTGCCCCGAGTCACTCAGCAAGGAAGGGATGTGAACCCCTTTTTGTCTGAGACTAAGGCTTTTAATGACCCTCTCTGAGCCCCCACAGCCTCTTGAGTCAGTAAACTTTATAAAGTTCTGTTGTATTTCATCTTTTCGTAATGGGTGTTATTTTGTAATCAGAAAAAACAATACAGCTATTCACATTAGTTTCTTAAAATTAAAGTATGTAATATTTAGGGTGCAAAATAAGTCTAATTAGTGTGGAAGAAAAAAACAAGTTTCTTTTTGTTTCACCAACACAGAGGGATTTTTAAAAGTAATGCATGCCCATGATTTAAAAAAAAAAAAAAGACAAACCAATTAGTACAAATGAGACTACAAGAAGAGGTGAATCCACCCCGACCCTTGATCCTACTTCTCTGTTTTTTTTCCTCAGCGGCACCAAACATTCCCAGTTAATAATGAATTTCACCAGAAATATTCTATGCATATACAAAATATATGTATACATCCGAAAGGCTTTTAATATACTTTGGTAATCACTGATAGCTACTTTTTAATTAAGTTAATTACCTATCAACTGCAGTGAGCACAGTGATGCCCTCTTTCTGCAAATGAACCAATTTACAAGGTTTAATGTGAGGAGAGCCCACCAAGGCGGAGGCAGAGGATGGCGGGCGATGTATGTCCCAGACAACCAGCTTCCCTTCCATTGTTGCTGAGAGTATTTGTGTTAAATTCAAATGAAAGACTGACTGGCTAAATTTTCCCACAAGCTTGTTGAATGTCTGCATTTCAAAAGACAGATTATAAGTTACGTTGGTAATAAATATAAAACAAAGCATTTGTCAATATGGCATATTTTATAATACTACATTGATTTACAGTAGGAAAAAGATACAATTAAAAAACCAATCACTAAGAAATCTCTCCCCCGTGGATTGCCATGGTGCAGGCCATTCTGAACCTCTGAAGGTCTGCTAGGAGCAAGTGAAGGGTTGTGTACTGGGTTAAACTGTTGCTTAAAGCAAATGAAAAGGTGTTTAGCCACTTGTTTACACCTGTTCAATTTCTCTTACTGAGGTTTCAGAGACTGATGAAACTAATGTCTATCGTGAGCAAAAGCATGCTCCAGTGTAAGATATCACAAAAATAATTATCCCAGTCTTGTAATTATAAACTTTTTTTCCCATAAACTATTTTACCATCAGTAGAAATTAAGTACTGTACACAGACATGCCCCTGACTCCTCAAGAAATTTGTGCTACATAAAATAAGGCACTAGGGCCATCTTTCTTAGGCAACGTCTTGGAGACCAAGTGTAGAAAGAACCCAGAGTGTGAATGGAGCCCCTCAGGGAGTGTTTAATGAATGAATAAATCAAAGAAACTCCTCCATGTGTCATGCGATACAGCAGGTTTGCTGCCCGGTTCTCTAACTACACGGAGAAGACCCTAAGGCTCACCTCTTCTGTCTTGAACACAAGAGGGTTAGTAAAACAATAACTGGTCAAGTAAGGGCATCAGGTTCTTCCTAAGAGCTGTTCTGCTTCCATACAAGGCATTTTCATTTCAAGCTGAAGTCAGTCCTCGTTTGTGTGTTCTGTATTTGCAAATTCACCTCCTCACTAAAATTCATTTATGACCCCCAAATCAACCCTCATGGCACTTTCATGATCGTTTGCAGACATGTGCACGTGCAGAGTGGCAAAAATTTGACTCTCCCTGTGCGCACGTTCCTAGCCGAGGTCGAGCGAGGACACGCTCTGCCTTCTTGTTTCAGCTCTCAAACTGTAAACAAGTGTCCTTTTTAGGGTCTGTTTAGTGCCATGTTGTTCACGTTTTTGAGGTGCTTTCTGTTGGTGATGGCAGTATTTATTTCTTTATTTATTTTAAGATTTATTTATTTGAGAGAGCGAGAATGAGAGAGAGAGAGAGTATATGAGAGGGGAGGGAGAAGCACGCTCCTCGCCGAGCAGGGAGCCCGATGTGGGACTCGATCCCGGGACTCCAGGATCATGACCTGAGCCGAAGGCAGTTGCTCAACCAACTGAGCCACCCAGGCGCCCGGTGATGGCAGTATTTAAACTAGCCCCAAACATGGTACTGAAATGTTGTCTAGCATTCCTAAGTGTGAGAAGGCCATGAAGTACCTTCCAGAGAATATACCTGAGTTAGATAAACTTCATTCAGGCATGTGTTTCAGAGCTGTTGGCTGTGCGTCAATGCTAATGAATCAACATTATGTATTAAATACGGTGTCTTCAAACAAAAATACACATAAAACAAGGTTATGTATCGATCTGTTGATGAAACTGTTCTTTTTTTTTTTTTTTTTTTTGATGAAACTGTCTGACCCGAGGCTGGCAGGAACCCAATCCTGTATTTCTCCTAGGAGCAATGATTTTGTATTCACTAACTGAGGTCTGCGGAGACTTTATGGAACGTAACTGCCAGGAATAAATGAGAATTGGCTTTACTGTTTAATAACTTTGATTTATGAAAAAGAGTTTGCAGACAGAATAATCTCTTTGTATTCAGCCATCTCATCTTTTTTTTTTCTTTTTTTTTTTTTTGGCATGCCCTCTTAAAAATAAATTTCTGTAAATCGTACCAAGAGTGAAGAAAGGAAGCAGAAGAAACACCATAAGGTGCTCACTGAGGGCAGATCACATGGTTGTCAAATGCAGAAGTTGTTGCAGGAGACAGGACCCAAGGTCCACCTCAGATGAGACAGCTCCAGGCAAGCAGCCCAAGATAAACGGTTTCCCGCAACACCTGCCTCACCTCCTTTCTACTGGCTCTGAAACATTTAAATACCCAAGATTGTGTTGTGTTACTCTAAAAGCTGGGTAGACTTAAAAAGGAGCCACTCATGTTCAAATATTTATTACATCAGTCCAAAGTAACTTCCATTCTTTGTCATAGCACACATAGGTTAGTAAAGCCATCACTTTTTTGGATATTTTCTCAGGGCAGTCAACTTTCTTTTCCATAATATTTTATTTTGCACAATGGTTCCATTATTTTCAGCTGACAATTCAATATGGTAAAGGACCCAAGTAAAAATGTCAAATGATTTCCCAACGGTTTAATATCAAGACATACAGAGTAGCCCAAAGTGACTAAGCTTACACATACTTATTTACTCTCCACAAAATCTGACACATAAAAATGCAATAGGCATACTCACTTTTTCTGTTAAACGTGGGGCACTGTGAGCAAGTATATTTCCCTCTTCATACTGATAAGTACAGAAAAAATAATCACTACTACAAAAAGACCTGGTTTCCAAGAGAAAGAACTAATATAACCACAAAATCAAAACAAATGCATCTAAACAGGGTCAGAGCTTTGCAATCTCTACAGATAAGAGAATCTGCTGCCTCCAGGAACATCTGAAAACATTCTGAAAGAGGGGCACCTGGGTGGCTCAGTCGTTAAGCGTCTGCCTTCGGCTCAGGTCATGATCCCAGGGTCCTGGGATCTAGCCCCACATCAAACCCAGCATCGGGCTCCTGCTCGGCAGGAAGCCTGCTTCTCTCTCTCCCACTCCCCCTGCTTGTGTTCCCTCTCTCGCTGTGTCTCTCTCTGTCAAATAAATAAATAAATAAAATCTTAAAAAAAAAAAACATTCTGAAAGAAAAGGAAGTATGTAAAAAAATGCCACAAATGACTGTGACTTTAAATGGTAGTAAATGCAAATCTGATTGCCACATTTATAAGGCATTAAAGCTACAATAAGTACGGGAAGTAATGACAACCACTGAAAATTAGTGATTGTTTTTGTTTTGCATTTTTAATTGAGGTAAAATTCACATAACATAAAATTAACCATTAATCATTCTATTATTTTTTAAAAGATTTTATTTTTTTTTACATTTTTTAAAATTTAAATTCAATTAATTATAAAGATTTTATTTTTAAGTATCTCTACACCCAACGTGGGGCCTGAACTCACAACTCCAAGAGCAAGAGTCATATGCTCCGCTGACTGAGCCAGCCAGGTGCCCCAACCATTAATCATTTGAAAGTGTACAATTCAGGGACATTTAGTACATTAATAATGCTGTGCAACCATCCCCTCTGTCTAGTTCCAGGACATTTTCATCACCCCAAAAGGAAGCCCCCTCTCCTTTAAGCTGTCATGCGTACCCCTCCCCCAGCCCCCGACAACCACCATTCTGCACTTTGTCTCATGGATTCTCCTATTCTGGACATTTCGTATCAATGGAATCATACAGCATGGGGCTTGTTGTGTCTGGCTTCTTTCATTTACCATGATGTTTACGAGGTTCATCCACGTTGTAGTGGGTGTCAGTGCCTCGTTCCTTTTTATGGCTGAATCATAGTTCATTGTACGGATGGACCACATTTTGTTTATGCATTCATTAGCTGGTGGACATTTGGTTTGCTTCTACCTTTTCATTATTGCAAAGAATACTGCTGCTATGAACACTTGTATGTATGTATTTGTTTGAATGCCTATTTTAAATTCTTTTGGATTGGGGCGCCTGGGTGGCTCAGTCGTTAAGCGTCTGCCTTTGGCTCAGGTCATGATCCCAGAGCCCTGGGATTGAGCCCCGCATCGGGCTCCCTGCTCCGCGGGGGGCCTGCTTCTCCCTTTCCCACTCCCCGCTTGTGTTCCCTCTCTCGCTGTGTCTCTCTCTGTCAAATAAATAAATAAAATCTTTTTTAAAAAATTCTTTTGGATTTAGGAATTGCTGGGTCATAGGGTAATTTTATGTTTAACTCTGATTTTTTTTTTAATCTCATGATTCTGCCCTGTGTCAGTATATATATTACTGATCTGTTTGCTAATTCCTTTCTAAAAGGGGGTAAAAGCCAAGGTCCTGAAAAACCCTGTATTTTTTAAACCTGTTAAATACATTCAAACAAATATTTGCTTCATTACTTTAAAAAATTAAATGAAATTTAAATTATCTGTTTCTGATTTAATACACTAATTTCCAACGAGACTAAAATAAATGCTATAATTAAATCAAACCATTTTAATACATATTTATTGCTTCCTAAGTAGATACTATATTGTTACATCTGTACTCAGGGAATGAATATATACTTGTCCCTACATTTAAGGCAAATCAAAATATTTCTACTTACCCACAAGTAATATATTGCCTGTGTTTTACTATTGCTCACCAATTCTTTATTATTTGTTGGATTAAAAGTAAGGTAGTTCTGAAATATAAAGTATGGAAATATATTACATTACAATAAATTTTCTGTTTCTCTCTGGCTAAGCTAAATGTTAAAAATAAATAATATTTTTATTATAATAAATAGCTGAGTAGGAATATAAAACAGAAAAAACACAGCATTTTGTAAGCAATAAGAATATAATTTAAACACTGCGTGTTAAAATTAATGGTCTCAAATGTGTTCCCTTTCTTATTTAGTCTTATTTATTAGAATTCATCATCTGTAAATTGGAACAAGCAAAAGTAGCACAATATTCACTAATAACCTTTACTCTGCGTCCTTTTGGACAAAAACTGCTGCATACGCATTTCTAAATTTGACAAGGCCACAAGGTAACTTGCAATGAATGCCAAATACTGGAAAGAGTTTCTGATTCTTGCCAACATGGTGAATAGCATGGGCCGCCTGGCTCCCTTCCCAAAAATCAACCCTGCAGTAACTATGGAAGTGAGGAAACCACAAAATGCAGAAGCTAAACAACAGCAACAACACAGTGGAGATCCCTGGGGAGACTTAGGCGCATGTCCTGCCAGGGTATGTGGTTGGGACAGGGTGGCTGCAGCCTGATGTGAAGGGCTGCAGGGGGCAGCCCTGGGAGACAGATTCTAGAAACATGTCTTAAGTTCCATTTCTGCCACCTCTACCACATCGCCTATTCCTTGCCTACTCCAGGAATGTAAAGGACCAGTGCCATTGTTTAAGAAGTAATTTCAGGACAGCTCAAAGGCCTGGGGGGTGGGAAGGGGTGGGGAAGATCAGATGGAAGCAAGTGCGTGGACAAGATCTCACAAAGGCTGGAAATCAGTCCCAAATCACTGCAATCTATGATTCAATTAATCAAAGTTAATCTCTGATTAACTTTGCCAGATGCCAGCAAGAAGTAAAAGTAAGTCTTCCTTGGAGGAAGTTATCGTCCTGAGCCTCAAATTATTCCTATACTTTTTAAAGTACGACATTGGGCATTCGATGAAACATAACCAGGCATATGAAAGAGACATATCTAAATGACTGACAACTGAGGAGGGAAGCAATCATCTGAAAAAACCCCAGGAGATGCAGGTATAGCATTGACACACAGACTTGACAATAACCGTGGTCATGATGTGCAAGAAAGTAGAGGGCGAGATGGGTAATCTCAGCAAATAACTCTATTTTTAAAAAGAATTAAATGGAAATTCTAGATCTGAAAAAAATCATTAAAAAAAAACTCAAAATAGGATTTAATAGAAAATTAAATATAGCCAAAGAAATAATTAGTCAGTACAAAGGGAAGATAAATTATAGGAGAAAATATCCAGACTGAAGGATAAAGACGCAAAAGAACAGAAAATATAGACAAGACAATAAGAGACATAGAGGACAAGATGGGTCTAATGTATGTATAATTGGAGTTCCAGAAAGAGAGGAAAGATTTTAAAAAGGTGATAAAAGTAATGTTTAAAGAAGAAGTGGTGGAGAATTTTGCAAAACTGAGGAAAGATAAGCCATCCCAAGTTCAAAGAACCCCAAAAGATATGTTTTGGGTATTATTTTTTTTTAGATTTTAATTTTTATTTATTTATCCTTTTTTTGTAAGTAATCTCTATGCCCAACGTGGGCCTCAAACTCATGACCCAAGATCAAGAGTTGCATGCTCCACTGACTCAGCCAGCCAGGCACCTAGTTTTGGATTTTTTTTTAAATCAACAACGTATCCATATACATAGAGACACATCATCAAAAACTGCTGAAAACCCGCAGAAAATCTTAAAAGCAGCCAGAATGGAGCAGGAGGGGGAAGACACATAACTTTCAAAAGAGGGAACAATAAGATTGACAGCTGGGGAGCCTGGGTGGCTCAGTCCTTAAGCGTCTGCCTTCGGCTCAGTTCATGATCCCAGGGTCCTGGGATCGAGCCCCGCATCAGGCTCCCCGCTCTGTGGGAGGCCTGCTTCTCCCTCTCCCACTCCCCCTGCTTGTGTTCCCTCTCTCGCTGTGTCTGTCAAATAAATAAATAAAATCTTTAAAAAAAAAATAAATAATAAGATTGACAGTTGACTTCTCAACAGAAATGGTGTTAAGTCTGAAGACAATGGAATAACATCTTCAAAGTAGCGAAATAAGAGAACTACCAACCTACAATCCTATAGTCAGGGAAAATAGCCTTCAAAAACAAAGATAATTACCAAGAGAAATGAAAGCGTATATCCCTACAAAGACTTGTGCATGAAATTTCATGCACCTTTGTTTTCAACAGCCACAAATAGGAAATGGTGCAAATGTCTTTTAACAGTGAATAAAGAAATTGTGACATATCCATTCAATGCATGACTATTCAGCATTAACATTATAAAGGACACATAAAGAATAATAAGAAGGAATAAACTATTGGTACATACATGGATGAATCTCAAAAATTAAACTGAATGAAAGAAGCCAGAGCCCTCGACAAAAAGAGTCCATTTCTGTAAAATTCTAGGGTATGCAAACTAATAAACATTAATAAACAGGAGGGTAGATGTTGGGAGATGGGTGGAGGGGGAGTTGAGGTTTATTCCCATCACAGTGGAAAATCACTCAAAGGCTTGAAGTAAGAGAGTGATATAATCCGTTTTGCTTATTTAAGAATTATCGCTCTGACTGCTGCAGGAAGACTGCTAGGATTGGGGCAGGAGTGAACACAGATCAGCTGGGAGGATGTTGTCATCATGCGGGGAGCTGTGGTGGCGGTGGAAACGGAAAGGGGAGGAAGGATTTTGGAATGCGTCTGCGGAGTACACAGTACTTAAAAGACATAGGAATGGATGATAACACCCAGGAAGAAGGTGTGGCAAGAAGAGGAGCCCCCACAACTCAACCCTGAGGCCTGCCAACAGTTAGAAGGTGTGCGATGAAAGACGACAAGCGGAGCGCCTGGGGGTCTCAGTCGTTAAGCGGCTGCCTTCGGCTCATGTCATGATCCCAGGGTCCTGGGATCGAGCCCCACGTTGGGCTCCCTGCTCAGTGGGGAGCCTGCTTCTCCCTCTGCTGCTTCCCCTACTTGTGTTCTCTCTCTCTGTCAAATAAATAAATAAAATCTTTAAAAAAAAAAAAAAAGAAAGAAAGAAAGAGGACCAGCCCACAGAGGAGCCCAGGAAAGGTCAGTGAGCCAGCAGGAAAGGCGTCTTGAACCCCCACTGGGAGGGGTGCTACTGAGGATTTAATAGTGCTCGTCGACTTGGAAACACCACCAACTGACCGTGATAAACACAGATTTGGTAGAGCCATGGGTGGGTGGAAGACAGATCAAAAGAACCAAAATGTTCATCATCAGTAGGATAAATGAGCTGTATTATACTCAAACAAGGAGAGACTATATAGCAGTGAAAATTAATGAATTATGGCTCAATAATCAACATGGATGAATCTCAGAAACAAGGCGGAGAAAATGAAGCAATTATGACTCTAAATATGTAACAAACAAAACAGGTAAAACAAAATAGGATAGTACTGAAGGAGGGGTGTCGGGCTGCTCAGTCAGTACAGTGTGCAGCTCTTGATCTCGGGGTCTTGAGTTCCAGTCCTATGCTGGGTGTGGAGCCTACTTAAAAAAAGGTCGGGGGAGGACGCCTGGGTGGCTCAGTTGGTTGAGTATCCAACTCTTGATTTGGGCTCAGGTCATGATCTCAGAGTCCTGAGATCAAGCCCCATGTTGGGCTCTGCACTCTGCTTGAGATTCTCTCTCTCCCTCTCTTTCTGCCCCTCCCGGGTCACGCACGCTCTCTCTCGTGCGCGCGTGCGTGCGCGCATGCTCAAAAAAAAAGAGAGAGAGAGTACTGAGAGATACATACATTGCTGGAGAAGAGTATAAAGGAAAGCAAGAGAATATGTAACACAAAATCTGGGACACTGGTTAACTTTAGAAAGCAAGGTTGGGGAAGAGGTTGGGGAAGGGGGACAAAGGGACTTCTAGGGTTCGGGTGATGCTCTTTCTTGACCCGGCAGTAAACACACAGGTACATTCTGTTTTGTTCCTTAAAATGTACACATTTTGCATGTATGCCTTATTTAGCAATGAAAATACAAAGAGATCAAATATTTTGTGCACAAAAAAGCAAGAGATGATGAAGTAAGGAAGCGGGTATAGACAGCTCTTCGGAGACGTGTTACTCTGAAGAGGCACAGAGAGCAAGAACTGGAAGGAGATGCGCCGTCAATGCCGTTCTCCAAAAATGGGTGACACGAAAGCATGTGCATCTGCGAAGGGGATAACCATCCAGTAGAGGGAGAGCTGATCACTGCGGGAGAGGGCCTTGAGCACATGAGGGGGTGGCATCTCGTGCCCTGGCCTCTCCAACACTTAGAGGGGCAAGACACGGTGGTGAGGTCGAAAGCAGGCTGTAGGCCTGGGAGTGAGAATAGGCCAGCGTTTGTAACCGATGGCCTCCATTCTCTCAAGGCAAAATGAGAGAGGTCATCATACGAGAGTAAGAGGAAGGGCTGGGGAGCTCGGAGGACGAGACAGTTGTCTCTAGAAACGAAACAGCCAGCCTATTAGAAAGCCAGGCCGTGCGTGGCTAAAGCCAGCGCTCACTCGCCCTTTGTGACTCAAGGCCAAATCGACGGATTCGGTTCAGCTGGGTGGGCAGGAGCGCAGGCAGGCTGACGGCAGAGCCCTTCCAGACTCGGGGCCTTGCACTGCTGTCCAACAGCACGTTCCATCGTGACGGAGACGTTCGCTCATCTGTTCAGTCAAACATGGCGGCCACTAGCCACAGGTGGCTGGTGAGTACTTGAAATGTAGTGACATTGAGGAAATGAATTTGTAGTTTTATCTCACTTTAATTGATTTAAATCTAAGTAGCCACGGGTATTCAGCAAAGTTTCATGACACAAAATCACACAAAAATCAGTTGAGTTTCTATATACTAGCAATGAACAATCCAAGAAGGAAATTAAGAACATGAATCCACTTATGATAGCATAAAAATACCTAGGAATAAATCTTAGGTGAAAGATCTGTACACTGCAAGCTACCCTGCTGAAGGAAATTCAAGAAGACATAAGTAAATGGAAAGACAGCGTGTGCCTGGGGATTGTTAAGAGCACAACAACTACCCAAAGCAACCCGTAGATTCAACGCAATCTCTATCAAAATCCCAGGTGGGTTTTTTGCAGCAATAGAAAAACTCACTATGGCTGATGGCTACTGTATCAGCTCAGCTTACAAAAGCTGTGAGGAAAGTTTTTTCGGAGACCTAGACCTCTGACTGGGTTCTAGGTCCAGCATCCAGGTATGTACTTTCCACAGTGTCTGGCGCATAGTAGGTACTCAGCAAGCGTAGGATGAAGGAAACAAAGGTAAGATGGTGCAGAACAGCAGAGTCAACTTTGTGGGTGTCCTTGGCAAGTCACTTCAAGCAAATTGAGACTAATAATTTCTGGATATTAGGAGTAGTGAAGGGCATGCTTCTAGAATAGGAAAGGCTGCTGGACCATGACTTTAGACAAATTATCTAGCAATTAATAGTAGCATTCCACAGATGTTACTAAAGAACTCCTCCTCAGCATGTTTGCATGGGTTGCGTGAGATACTTTATGTAAAGAACTTAGCAGCATCTGGCATATAATAAATGCTTAAAAAAATATTGCTATCATCAAGATTAAAATGAGATCAAGGATATGAAAGCGGTTTTTTACAAACTCTAGGGTACCATAACCAAACTCCAGCAAAACCAAAAGTAGGTTTGGACCTGGGCTCAGTGTAACTGTAGACATAGCTTTACAGACTCATATTGAGCTCACCTGAACACCATACTCTTTGGGAAGGCTGAGGGTACACGCTGGCATTTCCACTGCTAAAGTCCACCTCCAGATGCAAACTTTCTGTGAGTGACAGCAGACAGAGGAGAATGAGAAGGTTCCTGAAGGCTGCTGAAGTACCCTACACCTCTCGCGCTAACCCTGTAACTTCGGCTCATGGAGCACGGCACTGTGAGTTAAGCTCCAGGGAGAGAGCCCCCGACAAGGGGCCATGGGGTCCGGTCATTCCCTGAGAGCATCACAGATGCCACGTGGCCTGAGCAGAGCTGCTCACCGGGACACACTCAACAGGCTGGCCAGCCTGCTGAGGCCGACTCCAAGGGCCCCGTACCTGGATTTCAGCATCTGAGATGGTTGCCAGATACTTGGCATCCCGGGTGATGGCCATGGCCCCGATGCCGTTGCCTTCTGGGCAGCTGTCAAATATTGTGTGCACAGGAATGCTGCAGAACAGGGCAGGGGAACACCCGTTTGTTGGGGTCTGCCTTGCTTCCCAGGCAGACTCACTCCAAAAGCCTAACGGCTATGGAGGAACCAAACGTGGTCCATCCATACAATGGACTATGATTCAGCCGTACAAAGGAATGAAGCGCGGACCCCTGCTGTACCAGGGGTGGACCCCGAAAACATCGCGTGAAGTGAGAGAGGACTGGGACAAAGACCACATGCTGTATGAGTCCATTGATAAGAAAAGTCCAGAATTAGGAAATCCATAGGGACAGAACGCAGATCGGTGGCTGCCAAGGGGAATGGGAGTGATGGCTGATAGTTTGGGGTTTTCTTTTTTGGAGGATTGAAAATATTTTGGAAACAAGGGCGCCTGGTTGGCTGGAGCATGCAACTCCTGATCTCAGGGTTGTGAGTTCGAGGCCCACGCTGGGCATAGAGATTATTTTAAAATCTTTTTTAAAAAAAGCAGTTGGAACTAGATACAGGTGGTGATCGCACAACACTGTAAATGTGCTAAATGCCATTGAACCACATACTTTACAATGGTGAATTTTAATTATGTGAATTTTACCTCAATTAAAAAAAAAAATAAAACTAACTCAGCATTATGCAAACGTGCTATTTGTTCTCTTCATGAAGTCAGCCATCACTCACTATTGAGCACTGATTCCGTGCCAGGCACGAAGGATGGAAATATGAAAAAAGATGCCTAGGACAATACCCCAGCTCTCAGGAAAACGAGCACCCTCCCACCTAAGCGGGAATATAAATAAGCCCAAGCTTTCTAGACAGCAACTTAGCTGCATCTATCAAAATTTTAAATGTACATACCCTATGACCCAACAACTCCTCTTCTACAGCATTTTCCCAGAAAAACAATAGCAAAAGTAAACAAATACAAATTCATGTTCATTGTGGCACTGCTTTAATGGAAAAAAATCTGGAAACAACACAAATATCCATGGATGGGGGAACTGTTAAAAAATATTATGACATAACCATAAAATGAAAAACTAGGCTATTTTCAAAAAGAATGAGGTAGATGTGGGAAGGTGACCAAAATTTTGTGAAAAAAGCAAACTGCAAAACAGTGTAGGTAGCATCATCCTGAGTGAGGGAGAGAGAGTGCATGCATTTCTGTGCACAGAAGAGTCTAGAGGACGGGACTCCAAACTAAACAAGGGTGACTCTGGAGATGTGTTTGGGTGAGGAGGGACTTTTATTCTTTCTTTCCCTCATTCACTTCTGTACTGTGTCACTGGCAAGACTGTAGACCGTAAGAAGCAGGCAAAGCCTTGTCACATGCAGAATTAAATTAGAAATTTAAGTACCCAAGAGAGCCAAAGAAATGCAGGAGACAGCAGAAGCAAGGATGTGAGTGATGTGAGTGAGCGGCAGCTTGGGGGACGGGGAGGCCCCGACCCGCACTGGCAGTGAAGGGCCGGTGGTAGGAAGTCCTAATCCACATACATGGGCTGGTGGTTCCCCATTGTTTTTCATTACGGAGCCCTTGTTACAGGAAACATCAACAGGCCTCAGTGGTCACCCCCACCCCAATTGGCTGGGACCAAGTCTGTGCCCCAGCTGAGGACCTGGCTGGTTCTCTGTCACTTGAGAAGACTTCATCCCCCTGGGAAGTAGCCCCCAAATTCACTTGGGAAGGCAGTCCTAACACTGCTGTGAATGACACAGTGATGTCCTTAGTGGGGAAAAGCATCTTATCCCTGTGGATATTGAGAATTAAATATAGAGATGGTGATGTCAGTTGGGCCTGTACTATAAACATACTGGTGGGAAGAGAATTTGTTTATTTTGTTTAGGAATGGGTGATGTTTAAGAGAATTTAACATATCAGAGCCTCTGATGGATTAGATTTGTGATTCTAATTTAAAGCCTGTAGTTGATTTAGACTTGTGATTTTAAATTCAAATCACATTGGTTTATAAACAATATTAGAATACTTATGAGAACTTAAGATTTGTCATAGTTATGTCTAATTTATTAGATTTACAAGAATTACTTAAGTATGGGTGAAGGGTTCATTTTTTAATCAGACTACTAAAGAACTTAAAGATAAAGCCAAATATATTCCATTTCTAAGTGCAGTTTAAAAATGTTTAAAAGGAATTAATAATCAAATCTGTGAGTGGGGCCAAACATTAATCAAAATCCCCTTAAAGGCAACTGCAGGGCGCCTGGGTGGCTCAGTTGGTTAAGCGACTGCCTTCGGCTCAGGTTATGATCCTGGAGTCCCGGGATCGAGTCCCACATCGGGCTCCCAGCTCAGCAGGGAGTCTGCTTCTCCCTCTGACCCTCTTCCCTCTCGTGCTCTCTATCTCTCATTCTCTCTCTCTCAAATAAATAAAAATAAAATCTTTAAAAAAAAAAAGGCAACTGCAAAAATATGCTAGATTTATAAAAGGAGTAAGATTTATAAGCTGAATGAAAAGCTTAAGGAAAAACTATGGTTCTTATAACTTTAATAAAATGAATATTCATTCTAAAACCAAATAATCTTTTCTGGGTCCCAAAGTTATCATTTACTATATCATAAAACTCATATGGACATATTGAATTGTTAACCACAGAGGCACTTTGTAATTAAAAAGAAAAAATCACCGCCAGAGTCACCCCCTCATCTAGTGGGGAGACAGCTTTTCAAGCAAGAAAAAAGCAAAGAATAAACACTTTTTAGGAGGCCAGCCGTGCCTGCGGAAGGGGCGCTATTAGCAACGGCTTCAGAGAAGAGACAAGCGTGAGGGGCCCGCCCTTCCCGCCTGCAGATTCTCTGTCACAGGATGTAACAACTTTCCCTCGTGTGTAAGTCGGATGTCCCAGTACTTGCAGCTGGAAACATGTGACAGCCACAGGTGACAGCTAGTTACGCAGAGGGGGAATTTCACTTTCTGGGGGACGAGTTCCTGTGGCTACGATGCAAGATGCATTTTCCCTCTAACACAGGCTGGGTTGGCAAGAGGCAGCCTCTGAAGGGTGTTCAGCAGGGAAGCAACACAATCAGATTTTGCGTTTGGGAGATCACACTCAAAAGGCTGTGGAGAAAAACCATGTGATGCTACATGATGATGTTCACGTATCTGTATTTAAGACAACAGCAAATATTCTGGAAGGAAACACACCAAATTGACTACCTCTAGGAAGAAGACAAAGACTGGAGATGGTAGCCAAAGAAGACATTAGCTTTCAATTCAAAATTGGTATATCCATGCACTAGAATCTTGAAAAGAAAGGAAGAACTGATTCATATGCTACAACACAGGAGAACTCTGAAAACATTATGCTGAGAGAAAAACCAGACACAAAAAGCCACATATGATTTATGGACATAAAATGACAACAGGCAAACCTAGAGAGACAGAAAGTAGATGAAGGGCTGAGGGGAGGGAGAGTGGGGAGCTCACTGGCACAGAGTTTCTGTTTGGGGTGATGAAAATGTTCTGGAAATAGTGCCGATGGTTGCACAACATTGTGAATGTAATTAATGCCACTGAATTATGTTTAAAAATTGTGAAGATGGGGCACCTGGGTGCCTCAGTCAGTAAAATGGCCAGCTCTTGGTTTCGGCGCAGGTCATGATCTCAAGGGTCCTGGGATTGAGCCCAGCATCGGGCTCTGTACTCAGCGAGGAGTCTGCTTGAGGATTTTCCCTCCCTCTCCCTTTGCCCATCTCCCTACTCACGCTCTCTTGCTCTTAAATAAATAAATATATATATCTTTTTTTTAATTGTGAAGATGGTCAATTTTATGTTATGGATATTCTACTACAATAAAACAAAATCCCCATTCCAGAGGCTGGGCTGCAGAGTGAAGCTGCAGAGAAGGAAGCCAGCCATGCGAGAGCCCGGATGACACCAGGTGGGGCAGGGGCAGTGGGGGTGGGTTCAAAAGGCATCTGGGAGGAGATGCAACAGGGCTTTGGGACATTTTAGCAGGAGATACCCATGGGACATGCAGGTGGAATGCTCTTCAGCAGCTTCCTCATCCGAGAAAAGATGAAATATGAGGTGGTTATGGAGATGAAGATGGTGTGGTTTCAAACCCCAGGTGTGTTCCCTCCTGGCTGGAGAACAGTACCAACCGCATCCTCACCACCTCAGGCCAGAGGAAACAGAGTCTCAGAAGGTGGATGAAAACCAAGGGGACATGGTACCAGAGAAGCCAAGAAATGAAGAGTGTCAAATGTCGCCAAGATGTCCAGTAAGATAAGGACCAGGATTAGGTAACATGGCCCCAGGAGGTCGCCAGTCACCTGGGGGACCTGTATCTTAGAACATCCAACATAACTTTCCAGAACACTCGAGAGCATTAAATACAACTTCTTCCTAATTGTGCCCAACTGGACTCGTCCACCCCCCATGTCACGCCACCACCCCCCACAACCCAACCAGGGCCTTACAATCTTATTAACCTAGCACTGCACTCTGCCTCTAGGACTGGGAATTAAGAAAGAAAACACATATGAGCATCTATCATGGGCCACGTACTGTGAGGTCTACTGGTCTTCATGACAGTCCTGTAAGGTAAGTGTAATGCGTTGAGGGACCCCTCAAAAGTCATGTCCACCCAGAGCTTCGGAATGTGAGCGTTATATGGGAACAAGATCTTTGCAGGTGTAGTTAGTTCAGATGAGGTCATGCTGGATTAGGATGGATCCTAAATCCAATGGCTGCTGAACTCAGAGAAGAGAAGACACAAAGAGACACACAGGTGACAATGCCACGTGAAGACAGAGGCAGAGACTAGAGTGACTAGTCTACCAGCCAAGGAGCACCAAGGACTTCCAGCCACCACCAGCAGCTGGGAGAGGGGCCTGGAGCAGGTTCTCCCTCAGAGGCCCAGAAGGAACCATCCCTTCAGGCACCCTGATTTTGGACTTCCAGCCTCGTGAACTGTGAGGGAATAACTCTCTGTTATTTTAAGCCCCTCAGTGTGTGATAATATCTTAGAGCAGCCCAAGGAAACTAAAACAGTGGGTATGATTAGCCTCCTTTTTTGTAGGTGGGGAAAGTCACTTCACTTCTCTGGGCCTCCAAGCTGGGTTAGTGTGAGTTAACCTCCCTCAGTCCCATCTACTCTGGGACACCGCCAAACCAAGTTTCTGGGCCTAAGGAGCCAAGAACTGTAAATGGGAAATTCACCAAGGTAATGTCACTCGATCAGGCCTCAAGGCAACAAGATGGCCAGCCTCCCCAGGCTACCTCACCCTCACCCGGCATCCCGTCACTGGCTTCTGCACGCCCAGACCGGCATTACTCATTTGTTGCAGATCACTACACTAGGTAGGAGAAAACAGGACTGCACCAAGCCTACCCTGTGAAGGAGTCCCATATAATTATCAGGCAGTTGGGCCCTTTGTCAGCCGTGGCAATCCACCGCCTGTCTTCACTGATGCAGAGGCAGGAGATCACATTAGGGTGGCCCTGCAGAAATGCAGAGAAAATGCTTTGAAACATCAAGGACAGTAGGAGAGGCTGGGGCCCCAAAGAGAGAACTAAGCTCCCTTTCCAGGTTCATCTGGCTGAAAATTCCACTCCTATAGCCTTTCCCTGGCATTTCTCCATAGCCAGTGGTTTTCAGATTTTCTCTCCCTCAAAACCCCTGAAGGACAAGTCACACTCCCCACAAGGACAGGGGCTCCCTACAGGTCTAGGCACGTGCCCAACTCTGAACCCAGCTTGAAAATAAATGTTGGGGTTCTGCCCAACCGCCAGCCCCCTTGAAGCCCTGCTGGCCTCATCTCCCTAAAACAGTGTCCACATCAGGTCACTGAGCAGCTCCGGAGCAAAAGCCTCTTCACTGGTCTCTCTGCTTTCCTTCCCATCCCCCGACAATCCTTTCCCAGTAACTCAGGAACCTTCTGGAAACACAAACAAGACGGTAGTGGTCCCTGCCAGGACACAGCCCATTTCCTCCCTTCTTCGTCTCCCCTGGCTCACTCTGAGTCAGCTATACCGGCCTCCTTTCTGGGCCCCGCGGGCCAGCCTGCAAACCTGGAGCCCTCTGGGTCTGGAATGCTCCTCCCCAAACTGCCCCTGGCTGGTTCATTCTCCTCAGTCAGTCAGATCTCGGCACAAAGGGCACGTTTGCCCTGCCAGCCCACCCAGTCGGAGGGCCATCCCTCACTCTTGATCTCTCTCCTGCAGCAGGCCACATTGCCTTTGGAGTGCTTGTTATAATTCGTAATTGTGTGGGGAGGGAAGACATGTCGGACACCAGGGAAGCACAGAGGGCACTGGAAATACATGAAGATGCTCAAGGGAGGAAGGCATGAGGACGACAACCATCCTACTCAATGCTTTCACGTCAGGGGACCTACATTCAAGACCTGGCTTCACCAGGTACCAGTGCCACCTTGGGCAAGTCAGTTAAACCGCTCTGAGCCTCAGTCTTCTCTTCTGTAGAATGGGGATATTAACACCCACTTCTCAGCATGATTATGAGGATCAAAGCCCTTTTAAACCTGCAAAGCCCTGAAAGTGTTAATTAGGTCCAAATCCCTGCTGAAGCCTTTTGTGTTCCCCATGGTACTGTGGAGACAACATGATCTGTCCTGACCACAGTTTTAGGGAAATGTAAAAATACAGATGTCTTAAATTCTTGCTATAAAATTAAAATCAATTGCTGTTTGTAAATTGATTCTGATTAGAAACAGAGACAATGAACAATAAAATGTGTTTCTAAAGACAAGACTTGCTATAGTTCAGGGGCACCTGGGTGGCTCAGTCGGTCAAGCATCTGCCTTCAGCTTGGGTCATGATCCCAGGGTCCTGGGATGGATCCCCCACATTGGGCTCCCTGCTCAGCAGGGGAGTCTGTTTCTCCCTTATGCTCTCTCTCACTCGCTCTCTCAAATAAATAAATAAATCTTAAAAAGCAACAACAAGGGCGCCTGGGTGGCTCAGTTGGTTAAGCGACTGCCTCCGGCTCAGGTCATGGTCCTGGAGTCTCGGGATCGAGTCCTGCATAGGGCTCCCTGCTCAGCAGGGAGTCTGCTTCTCCCTCTGGCCCTCTTCCCTCTCGTGTTCTGTCTCTCATTCTCTCTCTCAAATAAATAAATAAAATAAAAAATCTTTAAAAAAAAAAAAGCAACAACAAAAACTTGCATACCTGAAGATGGTGCTGAGTATTCTTGAAAACATTGTAGATGACCGCAGTGTGAGCACAGACATACAGAAGAACTCTCTGGTTTTCGTCTCGAATATAGTAAACAGGAAGAGAACTGTTCCATCCGAAAGACCAAGTCATGGTCTGGAAGAGAAAGGCAAAACCAGCAAGACACTAAGTGTGCCGAGCCCAGAACTGTGATGCCAGGCACCCTTGGCACAGTCTCTGGAGAAGGATTTCACATCATCAGTCCAAAAAAGAGAAATCACTTCAAGGATGTCCTCAACCGCGTGCTATAGTGCGGATGACCCTTGAAACCATGATGCTGAGTGAAAGTGGCCAGACACACAGGACCGCGCAGTGCATGCTCAGTCAGATCCATAGAGATAGAAAGTAGCTTCGTGGCTGCTGGGGGCCTGGGGAAGGTGGGTGGGGAGTGACTGCTACGGGATGTGGACTTCTCTTGTGGGGGATGAAAACGTTCTGGGATTAGACAGTGGTGACGGCTGCACAACCTTGTGAACATGCTAAAAACCAATGGATGGTATGCTTTAAAAGGGTGAGTTTTACGAGGATGTGGAGAAATTGCAACCACTGTGCACTCTTGGTGGGAATGTGAAATGGTGCAGCTGCTGTGGAAAACACCATGGAGATGTCTCAAAAAATTGAAAGCAGAATTACCATATACTGCAGCAATTACACTTCTGGATTTATATCTCAAAGAACTGAAAGCAGGGTCTCAAAGAGATATTCGTATGCCCATGTTTACAGCAGCATTATTTCACAGAAGCCAAAAGGTAGAAGCAACCCACGTGTCCCTCGATGGATGAATGGATAAACAAAATGTGAATATTATGCAGCCTTCCATAGGAGGGCGATCCGACACACTCTACAACATGGATGAACCTTGAGGACATCGTGTAAGTGAAATCCACCAGTCACAAAAAGACAAATATGGTAGGATTCCACTTACATGGTCCCTAGAGGAGTCAGATCCATAGAGACAGAAAGTAGATGGTGGTTGCCAGGGGCTGGGCTGGGGAACAGGGAGTTGTTCAATGGGTAGGGAGTTTCAGTTTTGCAAGATGAGTTCCAGGCATTGGTTGCACCACAGTGTGAATGTACTTACTACTACGCTGTACACTTAAAAATGGTTAAGGTGGTAAATTTTAGGGGCGCCTGGGTGGCACAGTTGGATAAGCAACCGACTCTTGGCTTTGGCTCAGGTCCTGATCTCAGGGTCACGGGATTGAGCCCCACGTCAGGCTCCGCGTATAGTCTGCTGAAGACTCTCTGCCCCTCCCCACCCTCCCTTTCTCTCTCTCTTTCAAATAAATAAATCTTTAAAGAAAGATGGTAAATTTTACTTTATGTGTATTTTACCACAATTTTAAATTTTAAGAGGGTGAATTTAATGGTATGTGAATTATACCTTGCTTAAAAAAGAAAGTCAACAGTAAACAGAAAGAACATCCTATCCTTCTACTCCTCAGAACCTAGACTGCTTAGTACCTGACACAGTGAGCACTTAATATTGTGAAATTCAATTTACTTCATGAAAATATATGGAATGGACAAGTTACAGCATAGTCACTAAGGAACTTCATAAGAAAGGCAATTATTCAGCCAGGAATATTTGGTCCTCATATATCATTTTCCCTGGAAGAATAAAGCATAAAATTCCCTCAGCATAATTAAAAATTCCATATTGCCAGGAATAAATCCAAAATAAAAATTTTCTGAAATGAAAAATTAGAGGTACTAAGATTAAATCTGACTACTACTTTTAACCCAATAGCAGTTTACTTACACAAATTTTTTGTGTTCAAAGTCTTTTATAAAAATCATGGATGGGGCGCCTGGGTGGCTCAGT